AAATAAATTAATTCATGAAAGTAAACTTTCTGCAATATTTTTTTAACGATTTCGAGAACAATGGTTTTATGTATTTCTGTTGACGGTAATCATTTTGAACATTTATTATTAACCAAATTATATGATATAAGACTTAAAAGAATATTATAAAAAAAAAAGTAATTAAATCGTTCGAATTAGATAAGAGATATTTACATAAACTTTCCTCAGGAACTTTTGAAACATTCTGTAGTTAAAAATCTACCTTTAAGATAATGAAAAAGAATTCTTATTACAGGTGGTTACTCAATAAATACGTTTAATTAAACATATTTTTCTTTCCGACAATATTTGGCTTTAGATTCATGTTTATAATCATTGGCCACAACATGTTTATGATTTAATTCAACTGAAAATATTACAAGAACATGATATTTCATTCGATGATAGTAATAATAATGATCTTTGTATATCAATGCATTCATGTATGCCAAGAACCTACAAATTTTGAATAGGATATTTCAAATCAACAAACGATATACTAAATACGCAATTACTTATTGATATTAAACAGCAATGTGAGCATTCTTTTGATAGAAAACAAATAAAGACAATCTATTAGATCATATACAAATCTTCCATTGCTTACATTTTCAGTCTGAATATCCATGTGTATTCTATTTGTGATTTAATTATTGTTTTAATGAAACTTACTTCATTTTGCAATCGAACTACATTCGTCTAAAAAAAAGTGGATCACATAACATAATCCTTAGTCTATTATTTGTGAGACTGTATTCTCAACTAATATTTCACGGTTTTCAAACAGAATAATATCCATTTCATTTCAAACAAATATCATATTGGGAATCAATATACAAAAAAGTGAATCAATGTATGTATGTTTTGCAATTCTCTGCGTGACTTTTTTCTGATCAAATTTTCACTCCACCACCATTCCCCATTAAGGATGTGTGGTAAAATCAATTTAATCAACACAACTATTTTATTGTTTAGTCACCTGGTATTTATCTTCAAACAATGTTTTACAAGTTGAGAACTTTCTTTCCATTGCTACAATGACTTTTTGATTAAATTCATTTTAGCACACATACCTGAGAGAGTGGAGGGGTGAAAATTTGATCAGAAGAAACATCACACAAATAGTTTGAAACATACATACGTCAGCACTATTTTTGTGCTGATTCCAAATATGATATTTGTTTGAAATGAAATGGGTGTTATTCTACTTGAAAACCGTGAAATATTATTTGAGAATTCGATCTCATGAATAATAGACTAAGAATTTGTTATGTGACCCACTTTTTTAGACGGTTATAGCGGTAAAAACATTCTATTGATTACACAATGGAGTAAGTTTCATCAAAAACAATAGAATACACATGGGTATTCAGACTGAAAATGTAAGTAAGGGAAGATTTGTATATGGTCTAACAGATTGCCTTTATTTGTTTTCTGTCAAGAGAACGTTCACACTGCTGGCTAGTATCAATAAGTAATTGCGTATTTAGTATGCCGTAAAGATAGACTTTGTTCACAACTACCACCGAATCAAAATATCTCAGTTTTAGTATAAAGATAATTAGGAATTTTTTATTTTTCATTCCATAGATGACTCAATTAGATTGAACCTTGAAAATCAAAATGAAGTGAAATGTATTCTTATGTATCATCGTCATTTTGAGTAGTTTTTGACAAAAAATTTAATTGTGGCTGTTTAAGAAAGCATGTCGTGTGAATGACACGTGAACAACGTCCATTTAAATGATTTATTAGAACGCATGAAAATTGAAGAACAATAATTGAAACGGAATTATGTTAGAGAGTTTTTACTTCAAGTTCATTTATATACAACGAATGCAAATTTATTGTACTGCGAAATAAATAGGTGTTATAGAAGCACTCAACCTTTTTTTTTTATGATTTGATCTAATTAGAAAAGAAAACGTAGTTAGTTGTAATATCGTTAGATGGTATTCGACAATCCATAAAACATAATTGAACTTACGTAAAAATCTTTTCTCTTTTCAAATTTCATATAAAATATCATTAAATAATTACTAATCGATTCTGTAAAAAAAACCTTGTAATCTATGAAAACTTGAATCTATTTTGTCTGTTTGAGACAAAATTTTCGATATATGAAAAATATTATTTACATAGGAATTTAAAATACGTTAAAAATAATTGAAACAAAAACAAAAGGATTATATTGAGAAGGATAAATGTCCAATAAAATTATAAGAAAAATAGAAATAGAGTAAAATAGTTTCTGTTTACAATGACATGATGGATAAATAGACCTTTTACTCTGAAATTCATTAAATAGTTAATCAAAGAGTTTCTATTTTTAGTTGAATAAAGAAAGTAAAGTGCTCCTTTAGTTGTTCCAAGATAGAAGATGTCAGAAAAAATCTTATTAATATCGAATGAATTGAGTATTCCGTAAAATATGATAAAAAGTCTTCACACTCTATGTTTAATGATATAATTTGAATAATTAAAAAACACAAATAATAGAAAAAATTAAGTGTTTAAAATAAATTTTTAATTATTATACATTAACAAACTTATTTTTAAATCCATTTTTTTCTTTTATCTGATTAATGTCATTTAAAGTGTTAATGAATACAAAAAAACTCCTTTTTTATTTTAACACCTACAGAAACATGTTCAATTTGTTTTTAATTAGCTTTTTTTAAGTTCTATCTTGTTGAAAGACATGTTCATCGATTAAATTAAAATAATCTCGTAAATATGAAAACAGTTTTGAGAAGCGACTATTCATTACTTATATTATATATTCACATATGATTATCAGGCTAAAAAAACTTCTATTCAACAAGTCAAATTAACATTCCGAATCATTGACATCGAAGCACTTTTCATTCTGTGTCAGAAAATTAAAGACTATGGATCTATTTTAAAACTAAACTCTTTTCATTGATCTATTATTTATTCCTTCAATATTTTATGTTTCTGAAAATCAAAATAATAGGAAATTAATTTTCAATGAAAAATTGCGATACAATAATTCTCATGAATTTTTCTAATCAACTGTTCTATCGAAAAAAAAAACCGGTTCATATCAACATTTAAATGTCCAAGGACAACTTTTCTTTCATAGATATTTTAATTAACGTCAAGAACAAAATGTCTCATTTTCTTTTCTTATTTAATGAACTTATGTAATAATCCCTGTATATTAAAACAACATACTTTATAAGAAATATGACACGTGTAAGATCGTATGGTCTTTTTTTTGTCTCGTGACTCTATTTAGAGAAATATCGTTCTTTTTTTTTCTGTCCTTAATAACCGTTCTTTTAACATTGTACAAATGTTTATTGTTGTCCGAAAAGACCTTCACTTTATTCGCGCCTTCTCGTTTTCTTCCCTATCGAAATGTTGAGTACATTTGTAGCCTTTCACTATCTTTCACTTTTCTTTTTATAGCATTATTTCCCTCGTGACTGTAAAGTGTATTTGCATCTGCATTAAGGGTACAATGACCTGAAGCATTATATAGTAAAAGTTTACTTCATCAAATTTTTATGCAATTTATTTTTTCTCTCAAGCGTTTACTGATTTACCCTATCGAATAAAAAGTAGAACATCAATATTTTCTTGTGAACCACCAGCATTTTATAAATTTAATAAACAAGAAAATGTCATTTATATGGTATATATTAAAAAAAAAGAATTATTTCAATTATTTATTCCTTAATTTTTATTAATTAGTTTTTTATTTCGTTCAGAAAAATAAAAGTATGTATAAGTTGATCGATAAGAAAATAGTTCTTCGTTTTATGTATATTACTTGTTTTTTTTAAATAATAAATTACAAACTGACAGTAATCATAACACATCAAAAGTTTCATTTCCTATTAACACAGACTATAGATTTATTTGTGCATAAAATATAATTACTGTTTAAAAAAATAAATGGAGAATTGACTTCTTTGAATATATGATACAAATGATTTAATTGATGTCATTGTATGATACACAGTTTATGCAAAATGCTATTATAGAACAAAAAAAAGAAAGAAAGTAAGACAGGATAAAAATAAAAAAAGGGACAGAGAGTGAAAGAGAAAAAGAGAAAAAATATAGTTATTGTTTAATTGGTTGATCTAACTGAGATTCTTTTTTTTTTGTGTTGTTATTTTGATGATTCATTATTTCTTCTCGTTAAATAGATAGTCATCAAGATAGTTTTCATTCCTTTTTTTTCTAACATACAACGCAACATCAGTGAAATATACACAATAATAACCAGGTATTGAGAATAACAATCTATTAATGTCTGCTCATTGACAACTTTAACTTGTCTATTGTTAAGAAAGTTTCATATAAATATTTATTAAAATCAACAGAATGACATTTATAAATAGAATCAACTGTTAGAAAGATTCAAACTCTATTGAAAACTCGAGAAAATTTTGGTGTTTCAAAAATCAACTAAAAAAAAAGAAGTCGCGCTTGTCTTTTGTACATAGAATACAAAATTATTATCAACTTTCTCCTTCTTTTCTAACATTTGGATACTCGCAACAATTCCATTAATAAACGATGTGTATTTTTAACACCTCTTCTGAAATGAACTCTGTCAGAGGTATTTTCTACTTGATGAAAATATAATATAAACATCCTTTGAAAGTAGAATTGTCAGCATAACCTTAAGAGAATAATGCATTGCAACCAATCATCAGATTACAGATTTTCTTTAGAATTTAATTAAAACATAAGCTTTAGCTAAATTACTATGATCTTGATAAACACAATGGTGTTCGTCTACATTTATATTTATGTCTCTTCAATTTATGAGCTGCATTAATGTATATATAGCTGCTAATATTTTTTTCAAAAATAATCATTATGAGAAAAATGTCATACAATGATCTTTCTTTCTTTCTTTATTCTATCTAGAAGTCATATTGATCTTCAAAAAGTGCGACTATCATTCTAATCTTTGTTATTATTTTTCTTTTAGCATCATGATGTTCAAATCATTTATTACTTTTTCAATTATTGTTGGTCTTGTTTTAACTAAACCTATAAAAGAAAAAATCAAAAATGAAAAAATTTCTCAAGATATATCAATGGAACAAGCTTTTCGACAAGCCGAAATGACTCTCAATAGTTATTTTTATTTAATGACATCAGATACAGATCAACTTGTTCATGCTCTGTTACATATATTAATAAATAACCCAAAATCATTTCCATTTATACCATATCGTGCATTAGATATAGCATTGAAAAATTTTGCAAACAAGTTAAGTCAAGATGATGTGGATATTTTAATAAAACCAATATTATTGTCTATTGAACAAAATGCTCAAAATAATTTGAAACAAGCATCATCATTTCAATTGACGGATGAAATTAAACATAAAATAGAAGATACATTGGACAAATTCTTAGAAGAACACGAAAACACTTCTCATGTATAACAGAAAAATGCAAATTGAATAAAGAAAAAATTCTGTTTCATTGTTTTGTTTGAAGGCACGAGTAAAAGAATAAAAAAGAATATTATGTGCAAGAATATTTTCGTATGTGTTGTATCTGTGTCGTCCGTTTAAACTTTGTTGAAACAATATATATATATATTTCTGTAATCTACATGTATTATAAATTCAATTCGCTGATTTTAATCAGTAAAATATGATCAGAAAAGAAGATTTATTTAATAACTTCAATAATGGAATGATGATAATTTTCTATAGAAAAACTAAGTTAACAATCATTTTTATGAGTATAAAATGAATGAAAACAATAATAATTATGTTCATGCTTTAAATTTATTTGCAATCGCTTACAACTGTAATAGATTTTTTTGTGTAAAGAGCTCTATGCTATTGAGATTCTAATTTATCTCTGGGTTAGAATTAGACTTAATAAAAATTGTTTGATGTTAAGTATTTGACAAATCACAAAATTATCTCTAGTATTAAGAACATTTGAACTATCACATATAAATGTTTTGAAGCTTGAATAGATTAGGCAAAATAATAAATCAGTGATAATAAGCATGAAAGATTATTATCTTCAGTATCTACAACAGAAGTATTCATTCAAAAGGTATTTAAAAAAATCAACACACTAATGTTTGCGTGAAACTTTCTAGAAAAAAGTGTAGAGTTACAGTAAACGAACGTTTGAAGATTAATTATTTATACACTAATCTATTTATATATTTATAGAACATACATGTAATGTGATTATATTTTGAAAATTATGAATAACTATTTAATTATAAAATACAAATCTATATGGAATTGAAGGTTTGTTTTTATTTTTTATTTTTTTGTAACAATAAATCAAATATTAAAAAAAATGATAACATTTATGTTTTAATAAAAATGCTCAAAAACAAAATTGCTATATATTTATCTTAAGAGATTCTATTCATTACGAAAAATCTTGGTATTTCCTTACCCATTGATTCAAAGTATCTGGTTTACGATTACTTGCCTATGGTTATTTCTTATATATGTTCAATCAATGATTATTTAAGCTAATTAAGTTTGAGACAATTTATTTGGTCTTATCTTTTGAAAAAAAAAAAGAAAATTTTTCGTCTAAAAATTGTTTACTGATAGGAATAAACATGAGCTTATTTTTTTTCTGTTTTCATCTCTTGTTCAACATATCTTAAGAATATCCGATCTGTTCTTGATAGGAAGGTTGATGAATAATTTGACATGATATGACAATTCTCTTCTTTTATTCTAATTTATTGAATAAGATCAAAATGTGACATTTCATTATTGAAAACAACTTCTTCAGACATAGAATAGAACAGAAATGACACATATAGATAATATTGGCTAAACATTTCTTCTAATAATAATACAGAAAAAGAATTAAAACCTACTCAGCTATTACTAGTACCGTCTAGTTTTTTCCTATTACTATCAGAAGAAAAGTTCAGTCAGTATTGTGTATATGTGTTGTTTCTATTCTATTCTATGTCTGGAGAAGTTGTTTTCAACAACGAAATGTCACATTTTGATCTCATTCAATAAATTGTAATAAATGAAGAAAATTATCATACTAGGTCAAAAACATCCGATCTAGAAAATGACTTTTTAATATTTCTATTGTACAATAGAAGAGACAGTTGTATTAAGCTGAGTAGGAGTTATCGATAAAAACACATCAGAATGAAAAAATCAAAGACATGCTCCTATCATTAAGAGAAATAGGAAGCACATATAAACGGGTTAAGTCATGAATGGTCATTATAGTCTTGAAGAACAGAGCAGAGCTAAAGAAAAAACAGAGATTTTATTTGTCAAAGATTTAGACATCAATTTGCTTAAAGGTGTTTAGCATTGGGCCAGTAGTAAACAAAATGAAGTTTAAGAAAACAAAATTAAATTATATTGATAATGAGCAAAAGTAAATTAAGTTGTCCACAAAAACTCAACGGCTAATAAAATATAATAAAAAAAAAAGATTTAACATTTTCTACATCGAAGAACCAATCTTACCTTTGACTAACAGTAAGAGAGTGTGGACTAGAACTCAGATACATTGAATTTATTCGGGTTAAATTACACGAATGACATGCAAACTGACAAATTGAAATAAAAGCTACGTATGACATGCACAAATTAGAATATTGGAAATTTAAATGATTTATAAAGCTGCCGACATATTAGAAGATCTCTCTAATAGTTGATGTTTTAGTTTTACTATGATGTTTATACTTTTTCTTTCTATATATGTATTTCTAATCTTCGTTTCAAAAATATTTTTCTGCTTTTTCTGATGTTCAAGACAATCTGTAATTGAATAATATAAAATGTAATTAACGGACGTATGTATATGACATATGAAATTGATGTCTGTTATGATCAAATTCAGTTATTTTTCATTTATTTTCTTCTCTTTTCACTAACAGTCAACTATATAATTGTTTTCATAAATGAATAAACATAGAATATTTTTTATGGATAATGAACTAAACTCAAATTCTGATCTGGTATCATTAAATATCGATCATGATTAGACTGATCAAGAATCTGATTCAGAAAGAGATGAACAAATTACAAGTTCAATAACTGAAACACAACTTGAAGGACATGCCGAAAAACTCAAAACTTAATTTTTTCTCTATTTGATCGTATGAAATAACAGCATTTTATGAATGAATTCCTTTATCGTGTGTAAAAAGGTTCATACTATGAAGTGTAAAAAATTCGTATTTTGTATGGTTTAGCACATTTTATGATTAAGATACTCATTTTTTTAAATGTTCTTTAGTGATAGAACGTAGATCGTTTTTGTTAACAGTACTAGTGTAGAAAAATGAAATAAACGTTAAGTAACAACACAACTAGCGTAACAAAACTTTTACAAAAATTATATCGTTGAAGGTAGCAAAAAAGATGACTTTTTTAATGGATATAATAGAGAAGATTCTCCCTTGCAACTTGTGAACGATAAGACAATAGAAGACTCGAGGTTTTCTAATGTGTCGACGGCTTTCGTGTATGTAATGTGTCAACAATTCAAAATTTCATCAGGATTGATTTTAGTCTCTTCGTCATGATTGGATTTAGTTCATCGAGTTGCATAAGAAAACATATTTTCAAACACAAAAAAAAAACATTTTAGAAGAAAAGTTCATGATATCATTATTTTTAAATATACGAGGGAAATACACTCGAAATATTGACTTTCATAAAATAAATTTTTCTATCTGTGAAACATCCTTTCCCTTATGTAGCTTGACGACCTCTATCCACTCGTGATGAAAAAAGAAAAATGAATTGTAGTGAAATTTTGAATCGTTAGCACAAATCATACACTGTAAATACCTTAAAACTCGAATATTTTAGTCCATGTATGTCATAAGTAGTCCGTATTGTAGACTTGTTAGTTTGCCAGTGACTCATATAACTGAACTCGGGTAAGTTCAATATACTAGAGTTATCATGCACATTTGTCTGTTGTATTTAAGAAATTTCGATATTCAAAATTGTAAATATAATTTATTACTTTTTTGTATTGAATTACTTCTGTAATGTATGGATTTTGTATCAAATAAAGCGATATTAATTAAAAATAACTAGCAGATTTGAAACGGTCTCACATTGAGTAAACCATTTGAAAAATCATAGATTTAGATAATATTGCAAATCAGTCAGTTCTGAGTGTCGAAAATAAGCAGATAATCACATGATATGAATTCGATTGATAATAGAAATCGTATTTTTTTTTACAGTGCTCAGTATCTTAATGAAGAATGGTTTGAGAAAAGTTTTGTTCTATCAATTATCTTCATAATTCGGTTATGTCAAACCATCAGATTTCACTTATTAATATTTAAGTAATTAAATGTAAGTTATCTGCTTTTCGGACAAGATATAAATCCAGTTGGAATATCCATTCTAATTTTTAGCTTATAACTAGTGAACAAGCAATAAGCAATTACATAATATTCTCGCAATGAATGGAATTGCTAATATTCTTACTCTAACTGTTTGTCAAAGTTTATAAGGATTCCCGTAAGCAATTATTATGTGATCGATTGAAAAACAAAATAATAAGTATACATTAATTTCATTCAATTTTGAATTCGATGATGAACAATTGAGTCTCAATTAGACAATACGGAAGAAGATATCATACTGTTATTAGATAAAAATAGGGGTGCTGTATTAGAATTAACAGTATCTAATACGAATACGTTAGGCATTAGTATTAATGTTTACTCTAATTCTTTGGTATTCTTTATATTAGAATGAATTAAGGCTAAGATATTAGTATTCAATTAACATTACTGTTACTTCTACTCTATAACTATCTGAGATTATACCTCGGAAAGTGATGTTCAGAAGTTTCCAATAATAGAACAAAGGTTACTTTAATCAGAAGTGTAATTTTTAAAAAAGAACAAAAATGTTTTTTTTTTTAATTGGAAGTCCTATTTCCAATAGTGAACAATTATTTTCCGTTTTAAGAAAATGATTCTAAGATAACAGAATAATTTTCTTCTATTTTGGAAATGACACTTCCCGTTAATAAAATCTTTGCTCTGTTATTAGAAACTTTTGAACATGACTTTCAAAGATATAGCCTCAGGTGGTATTATTTTAGAATTAAAAATAATGCTAATTAAATGCTAAGGCTTTGGTATCTATTAATTCTAATGCAAATTATACCAAAGTATTAGAATGAGTTTTAATACAAATGCTAATCTGACAGCCACAGATTAAAATCAAATTATAAACGACGATTAATTGAGAATTTTAACATTCGATTATTACTTTCATTTGCCATATCGAGATTGTTGTGTCGATTGCATAACATACTCATCGAGTATTTGAATTGATTCGCTTGATTTTTTTTCTTCTATGTTGTGTTTCTATATGTCAATGGATTGTTCGATAATTTTGTATGTTAATTACATAAACAGTATTTAACTGACCCGCAAGCA